GTAAAAATCATTTCCGAAAAACAATGAAAACTTTTTGGGAAGTAAGAGAAAGATCAAAATTTGAAATATAGTTGATCTTCAAGCCGCTATATGCATTCTATTCTATTCTACCGTAAAGATCGACGAAGTCTTGCGAACATTTGTTGTTCACTTTCCCGAATTCATTTACGAAAGATAAGCAATGTATTAGAAGAGATTTTTTAAGGAGACTCGTTTGGACGACCATTATTTAAAGACATTTTCTATTAGTTATTTTAATACAAAATGGCGGTCTACTGCAGCTTTAGTATAAAAAAAAAAGATCATCTTCTTTATACCTAAAGCACACAATTTTCTGTCTAAAAGATGGATCTGAAAACGTTCTTGCAGAGTACCTTCAATGTCAAACTCGTCACTAGCTTAAATTACATAAGAAATATTCTCCGAACTTCGTTACAGCTATGAAGCTACGGTTGATAGCTTGAACAGAGCCAGTCTATTGAGAATCGAACTCGACGTCTCTTAAAAAAAAAAACGCAGTTTGGACAAACAGTTTTATGTAGTGGTTTCATCCAAGAAATTATCTTTTATGCCACGGAATTCGCTCAGCCTTCTTGTGAAACCATTCTTGAATGTTTAAGGGACGAAGTAAAAATGGTAATAAAAAAAAAAAAAAACCCAGAAGCGCGACTACTTTATTAGATAAAACAATTTGCTTTACATTCTTAAGGGACTCCACTTAATAAGTCAAAGTTAGTTGAAAACGTAACCAAGAGAGAGCTAAGATAATCTGGGATATTTCATGGATGCCCATCTTCAAAGTCAGTAATAAGTACATCATTTTCCCTTATCGTAACATGCTTTTTGTGCTTCTCTCTGAATCTACCACCCCTGGGTGTCTTCTTAGCCTTCTAAGTTTATTCACCGTCAGGTTGCGAAAGTAATCAAATCATAAAATGTTTTATTTAAATTCTTCTTATTATAAAAAAATGAAAGAAAAATTATATATAGAGGGATAGAGGTGAAGACAAAAAAAAAATAACAATTTTCCACGGCCAGATGGTTAAAGGATGTGAAGCAATCTCCTCCAGGAAGGAGAGAAGGAAATCGCATTTATGAGGTTAGGGTAAATAGGGACAAGTAAAAGGATATATAGCTAAGCGAACTGAACATGTCAAGCCACTTACATAGCCAGCTTAGCTAGCTTAACAAGCTTAGTCTAACAATCCATTAAGATAAGAATATTAGGACAAAGTTTTTCATTTATCAATAAAATTAAATGGGCCGCGCATTAGCTTGATGTAAACGACGAGTGTGGACGGCTATGTCGACTTGAAGAGTGTACTTGCTTGATGGGTTTATGAACTCTCTCTTGACTGAGATTTACAAGACGAAGGTGTTTTAATTGTTATGCAATCCGAACCTAAACCTATCCTACGAAAATTAGATTTTCTCAAGAGCGGAAGTAACAAACACTTTACGATTTTTTTTCAAGTTTTTTTCAAATGTTTACAATTTTGAAAAGATTTCGACCCTTTGATACTTGAAAATAACGGTTTAAATTGTATGTAGCAAAAGTTCATGGGGCGAAAACAATACTAGACTAAGAGCTTCTAAAGCCAGTCAGCTAATCCCACTCAATAGTTTACTAACCTGGGATAAGAGAAAAACTCCTTTTATTTTTTAATAAATTATAAAATAATTCTATTATAAAATATATTGAAAATATATTGTTATTAAAAAGTATTGTTCATAAATATTTAAATTTATTTACAGCGTACCTTTCCCTTTCGTTGAATCTTAATCGAGAGTAATTTTAACTTTTACTCGGTCGTTGTTTATTTTAATACATGCAATTAAGTCGTAGAATGAAAAGTTTTTACAAACAAATTTTTGTCAAAATAATACCAGTAACGGTACCAGTTTTTAAATCATATACACGGGCAGGCAGGCAGGCAAGCAGGCAGGCAGGCAGACCGTGTTATATGGCATATACGGTCTTGTGTGTTTAGTTAGTCAGTTTAGTTCGTACAACTCTTTTTTGCAAAGTTATAAACATGTATGCATGTATGTGTGTGTGAAAAAAGGAGTGGTCTTTATTTATATATTTATATATATATATATATATATATATATACATTTATATATTTACTATTAATTGTAATTTAGTTAGTAGCACACATTCTGGTTAGAGCTATTTTGCACATTTTTTTAAATTTTTTTTATTTTTTTTTATTTTAATTTTTTGTTTTATTTATTTTGCAATTCAACACTTACTTTACTGTGGCTTTTCTGGTTGATTGTATTCCGCAAAAGCCAAATCCTTTATATATATAAATACATATATAAATATATATGTGTTTGTGTGTTTGTGTGTTTGCGAATACATTTTCGATTATCTAACAACATGCAATAGAGAAGATGTTTAATTTTTAAATTTTATATATTCTTCAGTCTTAAATATAAATATTGCTTATCGAGAGTTTCGCTAGCATGCTTGAGACGTTTGCTACAAAAGTATTCAGTGAAACATTAAATCGATTACAGAGAATTCATTTCAACGCTTCATTGCTTACTATCATCAGAGTTAGAGTTGGTAAGATTGCGTGCAAAAATTGAAAACGCGTAGATTCAATGCATAGACAGTCAAGTGTCAAGGAAGTAAAAATTCCCTGAGAATTTCATTTTATGCAAATTGCTTTATTGTTGCATTCCCTCCGAAACTACACGGAATTAGTATTTTTTATTATTATATTAAATATTGAAAAATGGCAATCAGAGCGAATTAAATGAGAGCGAGTTGGTAAAGGCTATCTTTCTATTGAGAGAAGTACGGGAAGTATAGCGAATCTATGTTTGTCGAGCTTGCGGTACAATGTAGGAATGTACAATGTAAATTTTCGATCGATTAACTTCAAATTTGAACCGTAACTCTTTATAGTAGCATTTTTTTTTTTTTTTTTTGATTTGTTAATTTTACTCCATGCCCCATACACAAGCTGTTTAATGCTGCGCCCGTTTTGGTTAAAGTTTGTACAATGATTTTGGTGTTTATTTCTAGATGGAAATTGACGAACTTTTGCGACGACGTTATATATATGTATTCGTGTTTTGCATGGTTTTACTTTGTTGCCATTTTGCTTTTTAAAAAATAATTTCAATCCAAAACTAAATCGATTCTTTAACTTTATATGATCACCCCATTAACTATAAATTGCCAAATTGTGAAGAAAATTATGCCAAGAAAATACTGACAAAGTAAAATTTTATGCCTAAAATTATCCGCCTAAGAGGCCGAGTAGACTAAGGGTCCCGACTAACAACTTAATGACCGTGGATTCAAGCCTCAAGTCTGGTAGGGTTTTCAATAAAGCCCATAGCCTGAAACACTAGTGTTTTAAGACTTAAATTTTTGGATTTTAATTACTCTGGTCAAAATAATTATAATATTAATAATAATAATTATTACTATTACTAAAACTATTATCCAACAAATGTGCAGAGAGTGAATTGAGTTAAATTGAATTGTAATTGTTTCTAGATAAACAAATTATGCCCTTTGTCCGCATCACTTCTGTAAGGCTAATATTTAATTTGCCGTATCCGACAGAACTTAAAATAGACTCACTTTTTATTATACCGTACGATTTAGAATGATCCGTCCGCCCGTGTAATGCTTGCGCAAATATTTCTACGTTCGTGCGGCCTTAGAAGAATTACCTTTGAGTGCAGTTACTCGAGGACAATCAGGTGATCCCAGGATGAGCAAATGAGCATTTTGCAGCCCCTTCTCCTTATAATGCGTAATTTTGAGAAAATCGTTAACTTAAAAAAAGTAGAATTTTCAGAATTTCTCGGCAAAAATTGCTAACTACTGCCTACTGTACTCTGATGTATCAAAATTGATGAGAATTTCTTGTGAACGTCTTTTCATATAATCATCCCTATGAAGATTAAAGTCTCGCTATATAGCAAAAATGTATATGAAAAATAATGTTAGCTATCTACCTACGGTCACGGTCGTTACAATATTCTTTTGTTTGTTTTGTAATGCCCTAAAGGGGGCATTTTCATCTCCATTTCCATTTCCATTTCATTCTAAAAGTAAACATAGACAGCTTTCTCTTATTTCGCATTTTCATTTTATGCAATAAACGATTGCTGCTGCTGCTGCTGCTGCTGCTGCTGCTGCTATTATTTTTGTTAGTGATCGCCTTAAAATTTCCCTGGGAGGCAGGCATGCAGGCAGGCTCATCATCGTGTGACGCTTCTAACTGTAATTAAACAATTATGGCCTTTGCATAAGCGTATTGGGTATCATTATCATCATCATCATTATCATCATCATCATTATCGACGATACTCTTCAATTATTTAATATTATTATTACACGATGATGGTAATTGCAATTACAGTATTCTCAGTTAGACAGCTTTGCAGCAATGATATCAGCAGCAATAATATTGACAAGCTATTTAATAATGCATTGATAAGTTCTCACACAGCTACAATAGAATGGTGACAACAATAATAAGAACAACAACAAACAATGAAAACAATTGGACTTTATACATTATTAATCCATAAATGGATTTCATATTTAACGGATGCCACTTTTCTGTTGTTCAATTATTACTGATTCATATACGAATGGCTCATACATCATGCATACATCATACATTATATACATACACTTACATAAATAGACATAACGTGTAGTATCATTTTTTTTGTTAATTAATTGAATGTTAGTGTAGTGATACGCGATGATGATGATGATGATGATGATATAAGTTTATAATGCAAATTTTAATTAGGTTTGACGTTGTTATTTGATTTTTATTTATTAATATTTCATAGTAATTACAAAATAATATTTTCAAGTAATTACAAAAAGAAGAAAATTAAAAAAAAAAAATATATATATATATATATATATATATATATATATATATAAAAGACGATTCAGCTATGAACTAATTTTCAATTTTTATACATATATTTATTTATTTATATTACAGCTGTTGCCCAGGATAACTTCAAATGCCCAGATGATTTTGGATTTTATCCACATGATATATCCTGTGATAAATATTGGAAATGCGATAACAATGTGGCTGAATTGAAAACTTGCGGCAATGGCTTGGCATTCGATGCTTCCGATCCTAAATATTTAACTGAAAATTGTGACTATTTACATAATGTTGACTGCGGAGATCGTACACAATTGGGTGAGAAAGACATATAACAAAAATATTGAATACACAGAAAATTGATTTTATTTCATTCATTTTTTTATGTACACAGAACCTCCAATTTCGACTCCCCATTGCTCTCGTTTGTATGGTATCTTCCCGGATGAGAATAAATGTGATGTCTTCTGGAACTGCTGGAACGGTGAACCATCTAGATATCAATGTTCTCCCGGTTTGGCTTATGATCGCGATGCTCGCGTTTGTATGTGGGCTGATCAAGTGCCCGAATGCCGAAATGAAGGTAATTTTCTGCATAATATAATTCGATTGTCCGAAAATATGGTTTACATTTCTAAAAGTATATGAAACTATAAAATTATTTTAATAAGATGTTTGTTAAGTGTTGTTGTGACTTTTACAAACTGTCAAACAAAGGACGTTTTCTTTGGGACTTCAATTACACCTCAAAAATAGGGTATTACATGTTATATAGTAAGTGGTGACCCAAAATCAGGTTTATTTGCAAAACAAATCAATATTGCCACTCATAGTACAACGTATCGCAAATGTAGAGCCGATGGCTGATACGATTTTCCGCAAACAAAGTCGTGGCATGATTTAATCAAATGAAAAACGCTTCCTAAGTCCACCTATAATTAGTATGTGGCGTTTGCAATAATGCGTATCCATTCAAAATTCACACTAAAGCTTTGCATTTTATAAGGCAAAATTTAAAAAAATTTTTAAAAACAAAGAGAAAGTGCAATATTGTAGATGTATATCATATATCCGGACAGCAGAAAAAAAAATATATATATACATATATATACATAAACAATATTTTGAAGTAAATTTAACAAAAAGTTAAATGAATTTTTTTCCAATTCGATCTTTGCAGAAGTTGCCAATGGTTTCTCTTGCCCTGCGGCCGGTGAATTGGCCAATACTGGTTCATTCTCAAGGCATGCTCACCCTGAAGATTGCCGTAAATATTACATTTGCTTAGAGGGTGTAGCTCGTGAGTATGGTTGCCCCATTGGTACAGTATTCAAGATTGGTGATGGTGATGGCACCGGCAACTGCGAAGATCCCGAAGATGTTCCCGGCTGGTAAGTGCAAAAAAAAAAAAACCTTTCTTTCTTCTCATATGCCATATTCATATATAAAAAAAATATAAACGCATTTATGAAAATGTATTTAAAGATTTAAATACATACTGTAGATATTTATGCATTCTACATATTAAGGTGTTGGTTGCTTGAGCCCTATGTTGAATATATATACATATGTCCATTCCTTCATTACATTTCACAATTGTTTTGAATTTTCACTATTTCAAATGTACTTTTGAATATATATGTATATATACATATGTATATATATATATGTATATATCTATATATTTTATTACAAAATTAAGCTTGTGCGCTTCACTATTGGGAAAGCTATTTTCTTTCAATTTACATAATTAAAGTGAATGCTTTCTATATATTATATTTATTTGTTCTGCTGTATGTTTTGCATACTTTATTGCCTGTTTGTTTACATTTATATTGATTGCTTAAGTGTTTTTGTAAATTTTTTTTTTTGTTTTTTTTTTTTGTTGCTTGGCAAGAAAAAACATCCTATCATCCTAGACCTTTTACCTAAAATAAAAACGAAAAAAAATACCTTTACATTACAGTGAAGACTACTATGGCGATTTGGATTTGAAGAGCATCCGCAAAAGTGAACTTTTAGCCGGTCTGAACAATGAAGGTCGCAAGAGCGCATCAAAAGCCAAAGCTGCCTCCTCATAAACTCATACTAGACACTAGTAACACTTTACACACTCACAAAAAACGCATACACACACATAAACAAAAAACAAAAACAGAAACAAAAACAACAACAACAACAACAACAATTAGTTTTGAACACTTCCTCCACTAACAATACTATAAAAACATTTTTTAACTGCACAAACAAAATTTCAACACTTTTCTCTACTAAAAATTCCTTACTTTCTATTTTTTTTTATTTTTTTTTTTTTTTTGTATTTTTGGTTCTGTTTTGTTTTTAAACCGAGAAAGCGTACTACTCTCTATTAGATCGTTCAATATATATATATATATATATATTTGTACACATCTATACATATATATGTTTATATATAAGTATGTGTGCCTGTGGAACGGGATGGTTTGTGCTTGCATCGGCAGCGAACAGCAAACTTTTCTCAACGCAATATACATTTCCACACATAGAAGCATATTTCGAATTTCTCTGTTTCCAGTACAAGATTCTCGTGTTTACGTTTTCAGTTTATTTATACCTAAATTTTTATTAGTTTTTTCAATATAATTTTCTATTATTTTTTTTATTTTTTTTTTTTATTATTTTTTTCTCTTTTGAAAAATATTGCTTGTATGTTTTTAGAAAACAATAAAAAGCAAGAAATTCACACAATTTACATAGAGACAGAATAATTAGAGCGAGAAAGAGAGATAGAGAAATTAAAATTCTTTCTCTGAATGCATATCGATTTAAATTTGTTTTTATATAAAATTGAAGGTACGTGTGTCGTAAACGTTTAGAGATTTGTTTAAATTTAAGTGATTTTTGATTATAAGTTTATAATTTTATTAAAAAAACAAAAAAACAAAATGATAAAGAAAAATATATAAAAACAAATATATATAAAAACAAAAAAAAAAAAAAAAAAATTTGTAAAAAAAAAAAATTAAATATTTAGTTTGATTTGTGGAATTTCGGTGTAGTGGAAATGTTAACAAACGTAAAGTAAGTAAAACGCAACGCGACTGGTTAAATAGGAGATGTGTACGAAGTGAAAATATATATTCGGTCTATTAGATTATAAAAAGTGTAATTTTTAAATATATATTGTCGCGCATTGAGGTGATATTTTAAAAATGAATTGATTTATACTTTGGAAATGCACTACGTGTTTTATTTGACAACATGACAACTCATGTCCGAGAATATGGTTTACATTTCAACTTTCGTTGTCCGTATATAGAATATACTTTTACAATCGCGTTTCATTCATAAATTAGTTGTACATATCAATTATAAAAACCAAGTGCAAGGAATTAGTGGACGTTTTCTGGCATACGACAAATGGCAACCTATTGGAATTTGGGACTATCTAATTTAGTTTCATTAAAAATTTTTACACCCACGAAACGTGAAGCACACTTACCTTTTACTTAGACGTAATGAACTTCACTACAATGGAAACTCGATCTTCATGTGTAATATGAAAAATCTCACTCAAAATTGATTGGGTCTGACAGCTATTTTTTTTTTTTGTGACTTATTACGATTATTGTTAGTAGATTTGAGCATTTCCATTACACCTAGCATTCTAAGAATACATGTAAGTTTTAAAGAATTTTTTTTTGTGTGAATTGAGGACGGTGCGGTGTGGTGTTATTGTGTGAAAATGTTAAAAAAAGCTTGTCGCTCAGAATGCTCTCTACCTTTTTTCTTGTGTTACCACTTTTTCACATCTGTCTTAACAAAACGAGTATTATGTGCCGAAAAGACATCTGGTGTTTTTAACGCAAAAGGATTAATTTCTTGGGTAGCGCTGTAAGAGACGAACCTCTGCTGAGAGAGAATATTAGCCATTGATTGAAAGCATTATCAGTTATAAGGAGAAAATGTGGTGAATGAATTGGAGAATTCTAGTATATTCCAGTTAAATGATGCTAAGTTTTAGAAGACAAATCTCTGTTAGGACTGAAGTCAAAGCCGCTGCTTAAGACTAATATGAGTTATGAGGAAGAATACCCAGTGACTATGTTGCAGAAGATAATATATTCAACTTGAGGAGAAGGTGTCGCAAGATGAGCTCGAGCGTCCTCTTGTTCAAAATTCAACTTATAATATATTTTCGCGTATTCCGAACTTAGGTTACACAAGCTCATAAGATTCCATGTTAATTCACGTGAGAAGAAAGGCACTGCAATGCTTTGCCTTTGTCAGCCTACGTACTTTCTTACTTGGAAACTTTTCCTCCTAATGATTGATGCCATCTTTACATGTAATTGGCTCGGTTCGTTTGTTTGTAGAATTTTCCTAATTAAATGCGAAAGCTAAGTGAACGGATCCACCAAAAAATTGCATTTTCATTATTAAATTTTATTCGAAATGTATCCAACTTATGGATGTTTTTTTAAATTAAATAAAATTTTTAAAAGAGAAAGCGAAATATTTTATACACTTTCAGTAGAAAAGTATTTTAATACGAAAACACTTTCTTAGATGTAATTAGAAGACACTAATCTGTGTATACATGAAACTTTATCTAAGTTATGAATGCCAGTACTTCAAGTTAAGTTTTCTTTTTTCCTTTACAAAGGCATGTTGATGTAGAACTTAAAAGAAGTATTCTCTCCTCTTCTTTTTTTCCTTGTATTCCAGATTTTTGTTAACCTTGACTGAGTACCACACATACCTTAAACACTTACAGTTACATTCCACACGGCGGATAATATGTCATTGTTAGGAAAATTGTGTCTTTATATGCGATGTAAGTGTGACTGTAGCTTGATTGAACTTTGTCGTTATTTTATATATATATATGTTTTCATAAATTCCCGACTAGGATCTCTTACTAGTTGTTAATATATCGTCAACATATTGAAAGGTTTTTGAGATTTTTAGCTATGCATGTGCGTGTGCGCTTATTATATTTAGAATGTAGATCACGCTTCCATGCGCTTCCCAAGTCAATATCCAAAAATTGTTTCAGTACAATTCCCTCTATTTGAGCTATTATTGTAGAAGAGAATACCTAACCGAAAAGCCACTTAAGCCTACCGCTAATTAAGTGCACATGTATTTATTTCATATAAAAACCCAATTATTATTTTCATCTCCACCCTCCTCCCCCTGGTTTCAATAAAGTGCTCATCCCTAAGGCGAATAATTAATATCTATAAATTTAATGGATAATATCACGCCTATCTGCCCTAAAACTAAGGCTGTAGCTTTCAATTTGGTTTAATAAAGTGAAAGGATTTCTTACAATTGAAGTATGGATCTCTTTGTATCATTTTTAGATGAAGCAAATGCCCAAGTCAATAAAAATAGAAAAATGATTTGAAAACTTGAGATACCCTTAGACCCTAACAGAGAGAGGGGAAGGTTTGATTTTTTTTCTTGTATAATACACTCGCACAATTATAGCGTAATTTGGTATACTTTGTTTCTTAGCTGCAGAGGTAGGTTCCCTTATTTTCTAGTAAGGTATGTAGATCGCAAACAAGGACAAGGACGTAGGTACAAAATTTCAATTTCATGAGAGTTTTAAAAATAGATGACTGGCTGAAACTTAGAATCTGCTTACATTAATTTTGAATATACGGACTATATGTAGGAGATCTTGAGGGCATATCCTTTGTGTTTACCCAAAAAAAAAAAATGTTAAAACTAGTACAACAACAAAAACTTTATGAATTGAAAAATTTCTCGCTTAGCAAAAACGTGTACAAAAAGGCGAAAATTTGTGTGTGAATGTAATATAAGTGTTTTTAGTGTAGAAATTGTTAGTAATGCTACGAATGCTACCAAGTAAAATAGCTTCATAAAGCGACTCTTAGGTTTTTTTAATGCATATGTATATATGTATATATATGTAATACAAAAATTATTGAGTGATTGCAAAATTTCCTACGCGAGATTTTCAGAGATAGCAAAAATCTAGACACACAACATAGCCTTTAATAACAAGTTTATTTCAATCAATTTTTAGGTTAGGTTAACATGCAAAATTAAATTAGGTTAACATGGAAAATTAAATTTTGTTGAAGACATTGGTTTTTTTTTTTTTTTTTTTTTTTTTTAAACATAACCATTCACTTAGTGGATGTATTCAATATGTACAACACGCATAGTGGAGGCTGTGACCGCGTTGGCCACAAAGAAGTGACGAAACACAAAGAGCCAGGAAGTGGTCGCAGCACGGCGAATGTATGTTCAATTGTAAGTGTCATGGCTTCAGCAATTAATCACTCACTGCGACCTGCGTATGAGTATGGATTCAATGTATGGGAGTATGGCCACGAACTAGACGCGATTTTTATATATCAGGGTTTTGGCTGGATTATGTTCGTGGCCTCATGAAAATAGTTTACCCACTTTGCGTGATCTTCCGACATTGATATTTGATTTTGTTTTGTTGTGTGCTTTGGTGAAGTATAATACCCGGATTGTCACTGAAAAGATCATCGATTAACTACGCGTTACGAAAGCGTTTGGATTTGGTCATTAAAAGCCATGTATATGAGTAATAAATCAGGACATTAATCTTTTATCTAAGGGATGTAAGGGAAAACAATACTCTTACTCAAAAGTCTTATGCCTTCACTGATAAGACGTGCAAAAAAGAAGGATACTTATCATCCCCAATATGCTTCTAACCTATACATTAATGTCTGCGCCTTAAAACCATGCCTTTTTTCAAATCGGCCTCTTGAACTTTTGCAATCCCTCAATATATATGTACGTATATATATATATATATATATGCATTATATATGTTTGTATGTATATGTGTATGCAAATAAATTTCATTTTTCTTTAGCCTCTTGATTTTTTTATGTGTGTGTGTTTGTGAGTTTTTTTTTTTTTTTTTTTTTTTTTGCATAAACACACATTTGTATATGTGTGTTATAATATATGGGTTAATGCGAGCACGAGCAAGAATAAAGAAAAGAAAGATTATCCAATTAAAAGTTGTTTGCGCAACATAAACACATTAAAATAGAAAAACTAAGTAAAGGAAAAAAAATTAAAAAAAAATAAAAACAAGAAAGAAATTAAAAGAAAATCAAAAACAAGAAAATGTATACGTTATACGGAGAAGTGTGCTGACAACAGTCAATTAATTGTGATGTTCTAACTGCGTAAATAAAGATTATGCATAGCATCTAAGAAAAAAGATGATAAATGAAAGTCAGGAAGAGAGAAGGGAAGAT